CCCACTCCTTTCATTCACGTTTGTAAGTCTCCTGATTTGAATTCAATTCAAGTCTTTCATTAAAAAAATCAGCCCAGGTTACTAATATTAAAGACCAAGGGTCCACTTGGTTTGCAGAAATAGGGGTCTGGAGTTGGCATCAGACCTATCTATTCCAATTCCAACCGTTTGCTTGAATTGCAGGGGCAAGGTTGCGTACACCCGAGACTTTGTATTGGTGGGGGCTGCATGCATTAAGCTGCCCTGTTTGAATTTGATTTGATTCCTATTCCCATTACTATTCCGATCCCAATTCTGATTTTGATTCTGACTCATTCATTTGGATCCTAACTTTAGCCCCTTTCTATACAATTATACCCTAGAACGTGCGAAAGTAAAATGTCTTAACTTCTAACATTTTAAGTACAGAGAAATTATCGGAAAAAAGGAGAAAACATATTTGAAGAATAATTTAAACAAAAAATGTACTGTGATTTATGTTTTTTGTTTCCTTTAGGCCCCTAAGTTTACTCTAGGAGGGGTGGCCACAAATTTTATAAATTAACCATTATTAAAGGGAGGTAGATTAAAATAGGTGATCCTGAATACATAACACAATTTCAGCATCTCTACCCAACCCAAAAAATACAAACTGTAAAAACATAGAGAAAAAGAAAAAGCAAAACGATTATCCCATTCAAAGAACAGGAAACTGTTCATAGTCCTCTTTACAAACATGACAATGCCATTAGGAAGGTGTTGCATCGGAGTATAGGTATGGAAATTCTGCTGAGTAATTCTCTATTAACCAAGTTGATTAATTTCACACATGATATAGGTGATTTTCCATGGGGTAGCAACCTTCTCAAGAAAGCTATCAACCAAAACCTTGTTATCACTCTCCATTTTAAACCACTGTAATGCCATGATTGAAACTTAGTTGCAAACCATCTCTAAGAGCCATCACCTCAGCAATGAGCAAAGTCTCCTCAACAAAAGGCTCCAATGCTATTTCTTACAACTCCACCACAACTGCCTGGGTTACCAACTAACCATGACAAGCCCCATTACATTCATCATTGAGATTTATTTTATTTTCCTTATTTAAACATGCATATTTTGATTCTTTTACTATATCTTTTTAATTTTAATGTTTTGTAAGTCTATTCTAGTCGTTCACACTCCATATCAAGATTTAAAGTGTCGATGCATATTGGTTTTGGAATCCACTAATACTAAGTATAAAAAGTTGGATGTTTTCCTCTACCCAAATATTAAAGAAAAGTGTTGGGTGTTTTCAACTATATTAAATATTAATAGGTGGTGTGACATCCCCTAGACAAATTACCTTTGAAAAAGAAAAAAAATAACAAGGAGTTTTTTGTATTCAGGCTGTGTTTGTTTGAGGTGTAAAATCGAATCGGGGTAAATTTTGCACCCCCGTTCGATTTTGCAGGTGTTTGGATAAAGTGTATATTTACACCATAAATCGGTGTAAAGCTCCATTTTGAAATACCTTTACACCAATATTCGATGTAAAAATACATTGAAATTATTGATGTAAAACTTACTCGTTTCTACCTTCTCTCTCTCACACACACACACCTACAAGCATTAGGCTATAATCATATTTGAGCAATGAGTAAGGTTGGAAATTTGTATGCTACAGGCTAATAAATATTTAAAAACAACTGAACATGATTGATTATTGATACTCTTGACATGCATTTTTTTTTGTATTAAGATTATTGATACTTTGAACATTGCTCCATATAAACCAATAGAATATGTATTTTTGTTGTTTATTTAAGGATCAAATCTAGCATTATCCAGGGATTTATCTTTCATAGTGTATTTGTAATTTTTTCATTGTATTATGCATTTGCAATGTGTTTTCCAATTTTCAATATATCTCTTGAATTTGCCTTCCCAATATGTTTTGGATACTTTGAACCTTGGTTAAAGTTTAAATTTAGACTAATTTATTTCTTGTTGTGTTTCTAGTAAACTAATAGTACTTGAAACTAATACAGAATGTGATCATGTGATTGCTTTGACCACATAAAGGTTTCACTTTAAACTTGGAAATCAATTGAACGTAGGTTTCATTTCTACTTTTTCTTAGCATGGAGCCTGTTAGACAGCGTATGCCCTTAAATCCAATCAGATTGATCTACATTGGGCATTTATTGTAAATGAATGAAAGTACATAATTGATTCATGTTATATCTGATATCTTTCTGTGTAACTATCCTTAAACCGGACACTTATAAGACTCGTGTTAGTTTACAATGTTTTTAGCCGTTGGATAGACCTGAGGAGGTTTATCCTGCCAAGGCTGACACTAATGTGTTGCCAAGTCGGTTGGGGTAACTTGTCTCAACTGAAGGGATGAGAGATCCATCATATGAATGATCAAACCCTACTGGTAGGTTGGACGAAATTTAAAAAATTTCTCTCTCCCATGTGGGAATCACATTCCCTATTTTAGAAAACTGTATTTTCAATGATCAATCTTGAACCCTAAACCAAACTAGATCTGAAACCAAAAAGTAGGAGAGGAATATACTTGATAATCGAAATCCTACCAGATCTAAAACCAATGATCACATTCCCTCTTTTAATCGAAATCCTCTTTGCATAAACACAAGCTATCAATACACCTATATGGAAATCCTACCAACAATTGATATCTCTACCTAATTATTGGCCGAATAAGTGTTATTAGTTCCACATCAATTATCATCTCTCAATGAATAATCTTGATCAAGGAACGATTCATTGGTGATCAGCCAATGACACGTAATCAGTTCAAATAACACAAACAAGAACTGCATCGATTTTATTAATGAATGAAATTCAATGCATGATCAAGCATTAGTCCCTAACAATAAAAACCTGGCCCCTCATGATATAATCAAGAACAAGCAAACTACCCTAATTATTTCCGGATCAAACCACTATTAATGATAAGAAGAGTCACTGCATACAAGAATTGACAGAACCGTTTCAGCAATCAAATTTTTAAGCTGTCCAACCGAAGTGAATTCGGTCTTGGGTTGGCAAAACCCTAATTTATGAGCAGCCTCTCTCGAGCGCAGCCCACCCTATCTACGATGACAATTCCTATATCTTAATCAGAAATTGAATCACCATAGATGCATTAAGAACACAAAATTCGTAGGTCATAAATTCAGGTATGAATGATTGCCAACTGAACCATGCAACTTATCTCTAGGGTGCATTCAGTCCATTTCTTGATTAGATGATTTAATTACCTAACTCTTTCTCAAGTAGTTCAAGTAATCACATATGCAAGAACAATTTGGCCAAGATTTTTCTATTATAACTCAAAACCCTAATCAAGAATCCCAAGACTAAATCACACTCAATCGGATCTGCTAAAAATTAATTACAAATCAGAATTAAAACTCATCATGGTTCGCATAGAAGAAAGAATTACCTTTTGGGAGTTACTGTTACTCCGTATCAGGTATATCCCTCTCCTACCTTTTGGTTTCAGATCTGGTCCAGTTTGGTTTGAAGATTGATCCTTGAAAATGCAGTTTTCTAAAATAGGGAATGTGATTCCCACATGGGAGAGAGAGATTTTTGAAATTTCGCCCAACCTTCCTATAAGGTTTGGCCATCCATATGATGGATCTCTCATCCCTTCAGTGGTATCAGAGCTAGGTTCAAATCTTGAACCAAATTAAACCAGATCTAGATCTGCGCAAATGGGCAGAAGGCGTTCTACCCGATTTGCGCATTCAGCATTTTTCTAGGAAATTGGTTCACAGGTTTTGGGCGATTGATCTAAAATTAAATCTTTATAAATCTGATTAAAATTTAGAATTTTTCTATATATTTTTCTTGATTTTTTGGTTGTTCATATGGTGGAGATCGAATTCTTTAATGGTGCAAGAAAACTGTGCACCTGCTATTCTATTCATTCTTGGTTTGTAATTATTTTTTTTTTAATTTTTAGATGGAATGTATAGGAATTCAATTCTGATGTAATACTAATAGAAAATTAGGTTTTCTATTTTATTTCATTCAAAGACAAAGCAAAAAGCGCAAGGAAGAAATTTTCTTAGATTTGTGTTCATCCATCTGAGATTTGCAGTTTTGGAAACTGCATGCTGCAATCTAATTTTTGTTTTGTAGGGTAGCAGTCTTACAAACAACCCTCCTATTGATTCTTGATTGTCTTGTTTCAATTATTTAATTTCAGATCGATTTTTCTTGAATTAAATCTTGAATTAAAAATAAAACCCTAGACCCATTCGGACCAAATTGGACCAAACTGTTTGGACCGAATCTTTGGACCGAATCTGTAATACCCAGTTTTAATATGTTAAAACTACTTTAGCCCATTTCAGCTTAAAAGCTATATGGACCGAACTGCTATTTGCAATTCAGCCCATATACTTAAATAATATTAATCAATAATATTATGAATTTATATGGGCTTTAATTATGGGTTTTACAGTTATTTAATTGATTTGATCAATTATGGTTTTCATGCATGTGATGTGTGATGTGCAACGTTCATGGGCCATAAGTACTTGGCCCATGCTGATTCGATAGTGGCTCTTGTGCACACCATGGCTGAATGCACATCATTACCATGGTTTCCTTAAGATCATTAGATGATCTCCATTCGTGGTGGGCCCCACACCAGATTCCTCCCCAAGAGGAAGCGTGCAGAACCCTAGCCGTTTAGGGCCCATCTAAATCTAGCTTTATGAAAGTCAGTGGGAGTCACTTTGGTTTGACCTAAATAAAACTAGGGCGTAATTTTTTGTTCCCTCCACTGAAATATGAGTTCATGTGATAGGGAGATTCATGTGATGAATTCTTTAAAGACCTTCCATCATTAACATGAAGATGGAACCTTCAGTAATGAGGAGATGCACCATAAAATTGGGCTATCAATTTGTTGTTGGATCTGTTGGATTGTTTCATAAGATGATAGGGGCGTCATAGACCGATGTGGGAGGGGCCTATCCTAAAATGAAAGACTCTCTCACGGTACCTTGACATTCATGAATATGATGGGTGAGCATTCACTGGACAGAAAGGTTTAACCTAAAATGGCAATGAACCTTGTCTAACAAAGGCCAAAGGGAAAGCTCATAAGATGAGTCGATATGATCCTTCACAGAAAGGTGGTGGGGTTATGCAGCTGAAATAGTTGGTTTCATGCACCCTATGTGATTAACCACATTTCTAGAGACACAATTCGCAATCTCCGTCACTGAGATAGGAGGGAAATCTCAGAGATGAATAAATGGAAATGGAACATCGATTAAAAGCCATATCTAGGTAGATAACATGAATCAAATAAGGTTGTGGACTAATATTTGCTTTGCCCTTTCAGAAATGGGAAACGGTCAATTCACTAAACTGTTGGACGAAAATAAGCTTAAGGCCCAAATTATGTTGACTGGTTTCGTAACCTTATGTAGGTCCTAACGTCCGAGAAACTGGAGAAAATTGCTAAAAACCTTGCTCTGGATCATCCGGGTAACAGGGCTTCGGAGGCCAAACGAAGAGAGTATCAAGAATGGGAGGAGAAAAGTTCTCTTGGCCGGTGTTATATTATATCCTCTTTGGATAATCTGATACAGTGATAATTCGATAAGATCAAAGTGTCCAAGGACATATTAGATTGTCTAAAGACTATGTATGAGGAGAAGAATCGTTCTGCTCGTCAGATGGTCTTAAAGTTGTTTATGACTGCACAGATGACTGAGAACCAACAGGTTCATGACCATTGTCTAAAGATGATGGGTAATATTAATGAACTGGTGGCTCTCGAGTCAGGGCTAGACCATGACACTAAAATTGATGCTATCCTCAATTCCTTGCCTCCCTTCTTCAATCAGTTTACCATGAACTATAACAGGAATAAGCTAAATGTTAGGCTTCAGGAACTCAGCAATATGTTGTAGAGGGCTGAAGAACTAATTAAGAAGGATAAGCCGATAGCATGCTTGTTGAAGGTGGCAAATCAGGCAAGAGAAAGTGGAAGGCTAAAGGGAAGGCTCAGAAGAAAAATAGCAAAGTTAAGAAGTAGAAGAAGGATAAGGCATCAAATGCCTATCACTTCTACAAATAGGTCGGTCACTAGAAGAGGAACTGTCCTCAATTTCTAGAGACTAAGAAGAAAGGTAATTTTGAATCTTTTATCATAGAGACCAATTTGTTGGTCACTTCTGCTTCCTGGTGTATTGACTCCAGGGCTTCAACTCATGCGTGTAACTCACTGTAGGGGTTCAAGATAAGCAGAAGATTGTGTGACGGAGAAGTCACGCTCTACTTGGGGACATCTGCAACAGTTGCAGCTACAACCGTAGGAACTGTAGAGTTAGTTTTCAGAGAAAGAATTATTGTACTGAAAGATTGTCTTTTCATACCAAATTTAGGAAGAAATTTGATTTCTGTCTCAAAATTGTGCATGGATGGTTATTCTATCTTATTCAGTAATGTGATTACTATTAAATGGAATAACAATTTCCTCACATACGGAATTCTGATTTGAGCAAGAACTACTGGAAATAAAAACTARAAAAAGAAAATAAAAGCAAAAGCAATCACTAACCGAATATGCAATGGATGAAATCGCTAGGGCTTTAGGTCCACCTAACCAATGTAATGAATATTGATGGGTTCGATTAACCAAGATTATTTGTCATTCCCATAAGCTGAGGTCTTTCCAATTTTATTTAATATTCACTCTCGAGATATACTAAACCTACGCCCATCAGGTAACCCTTCGATCTCTCGAGTAG